TGTTGTCCTGCTGTGCAGATGGCACCAAATTGCCACCAATGTTAATTTTCAAAAGGAAAACCTTTCCAAAAGAAGTGATTCCAAAAGGAGTTGTTGTGCATTTTCATGAGAAAGGATGGGCAAAAATGGAATGAGAGTATGGGTTGAAAAAGTATGGTACAAATGTCCTGGAGGGCTTCTGAAAAAATCTGCTTTAGTATTGCTCAACCAGTTTAGGGAACATATTAGTGAAACCGCAAAAAAGATAATTTAAACAACTGAACACTCATCACTGAACACTGTAATTCTTGTATCAACCAGTTGCAACCTCTTGACATATCCATCAACAACCATTTAAAGTCTATATGCAAGAAGAGTGGAACAAATGAATGGCTTCTGGTAATCATGATCTGACACCTACTGGATGAATGACTAGGCCCACTACAGTTTGTGAATGGGTTAAAACATCATGGCATTCAGTGAAGGATGAATGTGGCTGCCTGGTTTGGTTCTGCAACCCAACAAGACAGACACAGACTTCAAAGAGTAATTAGGACTGCAGAAAAAACAATTACTACCAAGCTGCCTTCAATTGAGGACCTGTATACTGCATGAGTCAAAAAGAGGGCTGTGAAAATATCTATAGACCCCTCACATCCCAGACATAAACTGTTTCAACTCCTAACCTCAAAACAACACTATAGAGCACTGCACACCAGAACTACTAGACACAAGGACAGTTTTTCCCAAATGCCATCACTCTGCTAAACAAATAATTCCCTCAACACTGTCCAACTATTTATAAAGTCTGCACTACTATCACTATTAATCTTCTCATTACTCCTTATCATCCAACCCCTCCCACTTGTGACTGTATGACTGTAACTTTGTTGCTTGTATCCTTACGATTTATATTGACTGTTTCCTAGTATGATTTGATTGCTTATTGTACCCTATGACTATTATTAAGTGTTGTACCTTGTGATTCTTGACTCTTGATGAATGTATATTTTCTTTTATGTACCCTGAAAGTATTTGCACCAAGACAAATTCCTTGTGTGTCCAATCACACTTGGCCAATAAAGAATTCTATTCTATTAGCAATGCCTTAGATGGAACTAAAGATCATATATGAAGATAGTGAAGAAAGTGATATAGTGATTGTGAGGAACTGAGCTTCCTAAATTTTGACACTAGTGATGATGAGTTCTTGGGGTTCCCAGAAAATTAAGTGTTTGAACCTTAAAGTCTCTCCTCATTTGTTAATGACGGTGATGATGGTTCTTGATATTGCTGCTGACTTTACATGGTTGAAATATTATTCTGCAATAATTTATTAAATATATTACTGTGCCATTTGATTCAGAGTATTTTTTTGTTTTCCTCCTCGAAACTTAGTTGCGTTTAGTCAGGGGCGTTTTATAATCCGAAAAATACAGTAATCTATAGAGTTGTCCATAGCCAACAGCTATCTAATGCAATATAAGAACTTTTTAAGATCATAACAGTTTGTAGAAAAAAGATCAAGAGAATAAAAAGTTAGTTCAAATAGACTCCAATTTTATGTAGAACTCAAGATAAAATTTTCTGTCAGTGTGACAGAATCTGTCTATATACTAGTAGTCTTCAACTTACAACAGCCCTCCCCAGCTACTTATGAGCCATTTTCAAAGTAACAGCTGTGCACACACCACTATGATCACAAAATCACATTCCAGGTATTTGGCAACGAGCACATCTTTATTGCTCTTTGCAGCATCTCATGTCATGCGATTGCAATCTGTAACTTTTTTGCTGTTTTCCTGCATTTACTTCAAAAATACCCACTGGGGAAAATTTATTGATGCCTTGACTTACAACTGTAATTATTTGGGGCTCAATTACAGTAGTAAGCTGAGAACTACCGGTACCTATAGCATACAGTTCGCCAAGCCACAGATAAGCATCAACTGCAAAATTCTTGCAGGTTAGAAACTTAGTATTTATGGTAGAAAGAAGTTCAAACAAAACCCATGACATTATGTATTTGTGTGAACAAAAATGTACAGGCTTGAGCTGGCAAAGACATAGTTCAGGAAAATGTATGTTAATAAAAATTGGCAATGTATTATCTGAAACTATTGAATGGTATAGTCTTCAACAATAGGTATGGAAATCCCAATACTTTTCTGTGTTAATTTCCGTAGAGTTGATATATAAAGAAGCTACATCTACTGGATTGATAATGAGCACAGCTTAGCATCTATTATCAGTGGTAATGTCCTCAACTCTTTTAGCGATAAATCTTGCCTAACTCCATGAAGGCAACTTCTACAAGATGGCAAGTCTTCCCCACTATTGCAATAATTGACAAATCCAGCTAAGAAGGAAAGAATAGAATGAGGCAAGATGTAGTTCTGATACAAAATCTAATAACTTTTGCTGACGCTCCAAAGTACTACAACAATAAAGGGCCTGTGGCCTGACATAAGGAATCACAACCATAGAAGTGCTTGAAGCTGACAGACCTGTACTTACAGAATGATTCAAAGTATAATCTTAAAAACATTATATTAAACATTAGCATGAAATATACATATAGCATGAAAAGGATTTATAACCATAAGTAGCATTCAACAAAAGCAATGCTAAAATAAAAGTCCTAATGTTAACGATTTATCTTATAATCCATAAACAAAATAAGTTGTGAGTAAGTGGTAACTTTATATAACATTTAACCAAAATGGAAATATTTTCAAATTTAATGAAGTATGTTGGTTTGAAACTGTGGAAATTTGACTAAGAATATTTTTCACTCCTCCACTCTTGCAGTTGTCTGCTCTCCTTTAAAAACTCTCTTTGACATGGGAGACTGTTTAACATATCTTCAGGAAAGCTGGAATGAAAGAAAATGACTGATTCAAAACTGGGAAGAGGCACCTTCTAGAGAGAATCTAGAGAGATTTTTCAGGGACAGCAGAAGACAGAAAAATGAAAAAGTTTGCTTTTAAAAAGTCTATATACACCAACATTTGTTCTCTTTACATTTACAACACGTAATGTTATCCAACAATTGGTTCCCTGACAGATTACTGTTGCCTTGTCTTTCTTTTTTAATAGACTTGAAATCTAAAATAAACATAATTGTACACGTTGCCATACACGTCTAATAATATCATTTTTTTACATTTATTGAATTATATTAATATATCATTACAGAATTCTATTATTCTCAATAGGATTCATTTCTGGGTAAATAGATACAGGATTTGGGCTTAAGTTGGCAACATAAAGAATATTTCAAAATATTTGAAATCTAAATTGATTCAGTTAGGTTTATTTCTAACATTAAATCTGGCTGTAAATTTTCATAATGCATTGACTTTTAAAAACTCAAAGGATAATGCAAAAAAGCAAAGACTTTGACAAAATAAAGGCAAATACGTTCAGTATGTATTATATAATAAATTATAATCACAATGTGTCCTCTAGAATTACAATAGTGATTTCAGCTTAAGTACATTGTGCAAAGTACTAAACACTATTCTACATAATCTGTTTTATCCAGTGTTATACAGATACATGCTAAAAATATGCAAACAAAATTACCTAATATGACTTTGGCTTATTAACCAGGCAAAGAAGATTAGAAGATGCTAACACAAAATAGAACAAACACTTAAAGGAATTATTGAACAACTCATTGTAGACCATTCATTTAATGCACAATGGATTATCAGATGAAACCTACTAGAAGAAAAAAGAAGCAATGGCAGTAAGATAACCAGTTCAATTCAAGGTTACAGTTGCTGAATAGATGATACCTCTAGCATGGATAGATGGCAGGATGAAAAAGGGTAGCTAATTCCCTCCCTGGACATTTAATCTAGTACATTTCTTCATTTGATATTACTGAGCATTTTTTATTTCAATCCCAGAAGATAAATGAGAAAAAGCTTTTTAACATCTATATGTACTGCAGAAGGAACAAGGATGATTATATCCTCCAGTACTATGTTTTTACAGTATGAAAATAATGTAAATAGAATTAAGTAGTCAATTCAGACATCATAAGAGGCAGAAGATGACAGATTTGGATCTCTTACAAGCCAGTGCTTTAATCACAACATAAACAGTATATGTAAAGGCTGAATTATCCTATTACTGTAATTGGTACTCTGCCACCTACAGTACAGACATCAGTGCTAATACAGTATTCCCAGAATGTGAGTTCATAGTACATTTTACTTTATCTTGATTTTTTTAAATAATGAAAGAAATATGTGAACAGAATTATATGCATATGGTACTTTTGTGAGCTTTGTGATACACTTTTTACTGATACACTTGAAGATAAGACATGACATTAATATCAAAAATAACTTAGAATGCTTATCAGATATTTAAAAATGCCTACTTTATGAAAAAAAAAATCTACCAGGTTATTAGACCAGTGCAGAACTTAGATTCAGAAAAGGAAATTTAAAGCATGTCCAGTACCTCATGTTGACATTTTCTTAAACTAAATGTATCTTAGGAAATGTATCTTGGGAAAAGATACAATTTTTTAAGCTGTTAAACAAAACCATTCCAAATAAACTTTTTAGTTTCAAATCCAATTTGCCTACTACTTGGTTATTGCAAATTATTTTAATAAAACAGCATATTTAAAGACTTTTGCACATTAAATTTGCAATTTTATGAAAATGTATTTTCTTTCACAAATTAAATGATATCTAGCAGATGCCATTAAATATTTACTCAACCAGTTTTAGTTTTAGTTTTTCCCGTGATCTAGAAATCAAAATTTGAGTTCAGAAAAAAAAAGTTGTTTATATCACTACTGTAGCTATTCTGCAAACATCTACATCTCTTTTTCATGAAATTATATTACTAATTGTCAACAAATTCCCAGTTTAGGAATTAGGAGTCCTCTTAGAACTTATTAAACTCTTGAAACTAAAAATCACACTTTAAATGTCTGGAAATTGTGACTTCTGGTGTTAATGTTCCCTTTTACTATCTTATTGTTTCAACTTTACCTGTTTTCCCCATGGTTAAAAGTCAGGTCCTCCCTGTCACAATAAAAATACAAATGTTGCCTGAAAAGTTCACTCTTCTGTTTCAGTAGAATTGTTTCCTGTAAAGCAGTAATACAATAGATTAGGAAGAAAGCACACATGCACACACACACACATCATATCCACAAATATAGACATACGTATATATAACGAACAGTATAAAACCAGTAAGTTATGGAATGGAATTAAAAATAAGAAAATGCTTTAATTCTGTTTCTACTCATCCCCACAAAAACTCATGCACATTTTTTTCAATTTTAGGTTCTTTAAATTTCAGATTTAGACACTATTTACAACAGATTCATTGAAGGATTCCTATTATTTCTAACCATACACAAAAACACTTCACACACACACACAGACGTGGAATTACATTTATATTAGGATATTATAGTAATTATAAGTTCAATGCTTTTAACATTACATAGAAATTGACATTATTTGCTTTAGTACTTTTTTACTTTTAGTACATATGCCCTATTTTCCTGAAAATACGACCTACCCTGAAAGTAAGTCTTAGCTTGATTTTTATGTGTGCGGCCAATATAAGCCCTGCTCCCCAAATAAATCCTAATTACTCACTCCAGAATGCATGGGTAAAAATTAAGCTAGGGTGGGGGATGGTGTGTGTGTGTGGAGCTGCCCTACTACTTCCCTTTGGACAGCTGCAGCCAGGCCTCACATACCCTGACACCTGCCTTGACAGTCCATTTCTTCTGCAGCCGGCAAGGCTTTCCTGAAGGCCACTGTAGCTGATAACAAAGCTCTGGATCTATCCGGAGCTCTGTTATTGGCTGCAAACGCCTTCAGGCAAGACTTGTCGGCCGCAGTAGTAGTAGTTCATGAAGGCCTCTGACAGCGAAAAGGAGGCCAGGGGTGACATGCACAAGTAAAGTTAGTCAGTAGATGACATCCCCTGAAAATAAGACCTAGTGCCTTTTTTTGTGGCAAAAAAAAATATAAGACAGGGTCTTATTTTCAGGGCAACATGGTACAATATTGTTTGTTTGATTTATATTACAAAACAGTTGCAGCAATAAAACTCTAAATGTATCAATTTATTTACTGCATAAGTACATCCAAGATAAAAATTTAATTGGTCTTAAGCCAGTTAGATCTCTTTTAATTCTTATTTTCCACTTAAATAATGCCAACCTTCCTGAAAAGTGCAATCTTGATAAATGAGGTACATATTTATGCCTTTTATTGATAATCAATTTGGACAAAAACTGATGATGACTAAGGAACAAAATTCAATACCATTTGTCTGTATGAATTTTGCTGAAATAGAATATGAATGCAATAATCCACAACATTTTTTGTGGTCTTTATATCTTGAACTAATAGTGTTCAGTAATTCTGTATATGTTACTTAGAGATTATTGCTGCTAAATTATATAGAACATATTGCAAGGTAAACAGGGATATACCGTAAAATGACCTAACTTGCTGAAATACTAAGAAACATTCATTCATAAATAACAAGTTTTACACAGTTCAAAGATTCAGATACAAATATAATTGTTCTATATTATTTAATTGTGCTATATGTTATGTACTAATTTAAAACTTTTCAAGAATACATTAACAATTCCTTGTTCCCAGTCTTATAAAATTGCATAGTACATTTAGAAAACTAAAATGTGATCAAATTGATCCTAATAAAATATTTGAGAATCGGTTAGAATAGTTAAAATATGAAACTTGAAACTTTCACACTTATGAGGAAAATCTAAACTTTAAAATGTCATTTTAACAACCTTTAAAATTGAACTGCATTGTATAAAGATTGTAATAAAAATCATTATTTATTCTCAAAAAATGAAATTCCCTAGGGTGTTTATGTCTGATCAAATATAGGAGTAAACATTAATGTATGTATGTATTTTTTATTTCAAAAGTTCAGGTGCAAAAATGCTAACACAAGTATATTTGTAAAAATATACAAATAATAAAGCGTACTCTTCTATGAAATTAATTCAACAAATGAAACCCCATTTCAATAAAAGGAAATAGGAGCTATTACAAAAAGCTGTTGAATTCAAAACAGATTTCAAAGCTATCTTACAACTGAAAGGTGATCCAAGTCATCCTCTTTATGAGCAGTCAACTTTAAACCACTTGTGTTTATCTTTCTATTGTTGCTTTTCTAGCCAGCAGCAGATTACACTTGCTCCTGTAATAAAGATTCCAGTTCAATAGTGATTATATCTCTCTAAGCCACTGAAGTACTTGCTGGAAAACATAAAAAGAATTCCAGCATTTCAGACAAATGAGCATCTAGACAGAGACAAGATTGTCAGCTAACAGAAACCCCATCCAAAGGGAAGGGTTGGCAATAAACATTGCCAATAACCTATTTCATCGCCTATAAAATTCAGCCCACAAATTCATCCAGAATTCTAGATCTAATGCTGAAGATTAGGAAATCATTCATGTAGCAACTTCCTAAAATAAAGTACAATGGCCAAAAATATACCTGTCTCATCATATATTGAAGATACAAATTTTCCAATGATGGGGATTAATTTCTCTTCCAAAGAGAATTTTCCATCTCAGATTCAACATAGAAAAAGCAGTCAACTCCTTGTTACTATAAATCATAATTAAATGTCAGTGTATCTACAACATAGCATTAATTATTCATGTTGCTATTTCCTCCCCCTTCTCATTTATTCATTAAAAACCTAATACATTATTAAATACATCTCTTGGGCTTTGTTTACAAATTGCCACAATGTCACATACTGCGGCCATGTATTGCCAAGGGTATTTTTACTCTTAATTGCCAGAAGAGATCATAAAATGTCAATCTGAATACAATTTTAATCAAATGAATCCATCTCTAATTATATAAAATAACATAGAATAACTGTATGAACTGTTCTAATTCTAAATTCAAGATTGCAAAATTAACAAAGAGGAAATTTGACCACTGCTATATTTTAAAAAGCGATGTGCCTTTATATGAGTTAAGTAATTGAGTCAGTTTCATAGTTTTATAAGGTAGGATTTATTTTGTCTTATTTCAGATTGATAAATGATTTAAAACTTGTTGTGACTGAGAAATAAAAAGGAAAACACTACCTAAATTATTATTTTTATATTTGTAATATTTCAAATTAGCCTATTAACATATATATCAGTACATGGGCAATTTTAATGACAGAAAAATAGGCCTTCGGTATCATTTTTAAAATGTGCCGGATTACTATTTTAATTATCAAATGTTATCTTTCATGCTGGAATGTGAAGTTCATTATTTATACAGTTGACTATAAATTTAATTGCAGTAGTTTACAGAAAAATTCATCTCAAGAAAAATGATGTTTGTAATTAAAAAAATTAATGACATTACTACCATTTTATTTGTATATAATTTTTTTGTTGAAAATATGTGTACCCATAATCTTTTTCCATTCATATAATTTAGTATTCTAAATTACAGTGATCTTAAAGAACATGATTAGAAGGAGCATTCTTCAGACCAAGAAAATTAGTAACATTTATTCAGTATAACTAAACTACTTTGCAAATGGTACAATGCACAGAATTTGAACAAATCATACTGCTCAATTTGCTTTTTTGCCATGGTACTCACTGATTTGTAGCGAGGAAATCACTTTATTACCTATGCCCTCCCAAAAAGTTACTTTAGAGGAGGATAATTTTGTAAATACATTTACACTGACTAGAATTTTATATCTGTACTTTAAGAGTCTTTTTGGAGTTTGCTGTCCTTAGCAAATTAAATCAAATTAAAATCTCAAAATTGTTGCAATTCCAGTTCATTAAAAAGAAATTGCTTTACTAATAAAATACTCTAGGAAGAAAGCCCTTAATTGCAGGGATCAAGCACAGTTGTCACCTCCTCCCATATGCTACTAAAAGGAAATAGTTTGAATCATTATATACTGTTTAAACTAGAATTGAGATAGGAGTTTTTATATTGCTCTCAGATTATGATTATTTTTCTGAAGGACAAACCCAATATACATTTACATCTGTTGCTTTCAAAAAGCTCTAGATCTTTCTTTTAACCACTTTCATGATAGTGCTTCATATCATAAATATACTTTTAACTTTCTAAACAACAATTTTCCATATAAAGAGCACCATCAATCCAATCATATAAATTTAGTTAGAATTAAAGCTGCAGTCCTTTGAAACTAATTTTCTCTTACATGCATTTTATATAAGCAAAGAAATATTTATAAACTGTATAAAATATTTTTATTGGAGAAAAATATGAATATAGATCTAAACATTCCTAGATGTGTTACAAGAAAACAATTTTAAAGACAAGCTACAATAGACTAAAAAAATTAATGTATCCGTTATTGGAGGCCAAATTATAATTTGTATATCCTAAATCTTTAGGATGTTGTTTCATCTTGTAAAACAATTCCTCGTCTTTGTTTATTCTTTAAAAAGTTGTTCACACCTAAAATAAAGTCAGGTTTACTTTATTAGAAGCAGATACTGTAGAACTGATGTACCTAAGCAGATGAGTACCCTGAATAACACTAATAACTCTTACAAGAATGGAATAAATTTAGCACTAATTCACCCCTGAATATTTAAAATGCTTGCACTCCAATTGCAGACATTTTAATAGTAACAGTCATTATCCAAATGACATAAACACGCTTTGTTCCATCATAGTTTGATCACTATGTTAAGTACTGAGATTTTTTAAAATATACTTTCAAACTTTGTGTCTGAATGAAAATTCTCTTTTGCACTACCTGCAAATAGCTAAGCAAGGGGGGAAATACAGCAATTAACTCCATATAACTTATCTTCCCCTGTGTTCTGTATGCAAATGTATATAAGAAAATGGAATGGATTTAGCTTAGCAAGTCACACTTGCAAATCCACAAAAATCAGGTATCTTTTCATCATTTGTGATTTCTATTCATTTTTCAATATAGCTAAACTATAGAACAACTTTGCATTGATTTGCTTTCTTCTAACCACATTACATTACAGCAGCAAACTGGACAAGAAAAACACTTTAACACAGAAATTTCTGCAATAGCAGAATTAATTACTAGTATGTTATTCAACCATTATGGGGCTGGAGGGGAAATGGAAATATCAACAGTGAATTAGCCTTTAAGTTCCATAGCCATATTATTCCCCATCCTTTAAAAAATTGTTTAAAAAGCTATTTTTATGCCTTTATCCCAAACATATTGCTTTTACTTTAATACAATTTTTAATGCATACTTGGGTATAAGCCTCAAAAGTTATTCAAACTTTACACAAATTAAAGATGTTTAGGACCCAAACTTGGAGAGACCATGTTCTTATTTATAAGATTAAGATTTAGAAAAATTGCATCAATACTTTAAATTACACTTTGATAGTTTTCCCTAAACTCTTTTTAGCAGCTCAAGAGAAATTATAAGGATCAACTGATCTAACTCAACCACTGTGTACCTACTGGCAAAATAACATGGATTTCCATGTAAATTACAATTTCGTTGAAACATGTTCAGTTACTGAACCTTTACATTTAAAAACACCTTTGTTCTTTTAATATTAATTTGTTTTATTTAAAATGATTGTCCATACAATCATACATACTCAGAAACATTCTAAAGATTTTATGCAAAGAAAATAAAAACATTTTTGTGGAGACTAGCTACCATAATCTGCAGACACAAAAAGTAATTTTATGTATTACTGACAAATATTTCTCTCTGTGCCAAATGGGGCTTGCTCTTCTGTAGGTATCTTCAGTGTTAAAACCATACAGTGCAATGTTTTGCATGCTTAATCAAAGTAAGCTGTCCTAAATTGCACTGAGTGTGCTTCTAGGACACCAGATTGCACCCTTGGTCAAAATCGATAAAGAAAATAGTCACAGGTTGAAACTGTTTCTCTGAAGAAATGAATGCGATCAGAAGCGTGTTATAGCCAACATACACACAAACCCAAAGTAATAAATTTCCTGAAACTTCTTGTTTCTGCAGGGAAGAGTATTTCTAAGCTCAAATTTGCACTAGAGGAGCATCGTGTTTCTCTGTTAATATACCTTCCACTCGTCCTCAAGGCTCTTTAGGCCAAGCCTTACTGACTTCGGAGAAAGACTGGCCTTCATTTACAAGACGAGAAGAAGTAAACACCGCACCCAACTCATCGGTTATCAGAAGCAAAGAAACCGCAACTATTCTTTGCGTGCCTATTTGCCCGGCCAACCAAGTTTAAGTAACTGCGCAGCTACAGCCGGTCCACGGACAAGTGGGTTTTTAGGCGTCACTTACATACAATACTGTACTTCATGCCAAAGAGGAGGAAAGGGAGGAGAGCCAGAAGAAAGCCACATCTCGAAGAGGTGTGTCCACGTCTAAGCCAGTGTCAAAGCACATCCAAGCAAACCAGAAAATAAGAGCCAATTCAAAATGCGCGGGCTGGGGGCAAAATAGCGCAGAACTGCCGCGAACAGCTTTAGTCCTGGAGCTTTTAGCCCGAAAAGCTTGGTGGGGTGTGTGAAATTCGGCTGTGCCCCCTCCTCTTCTTCAGTGCCCACGGTTATCCCCGTCCTACCAAAGTGCAGTAACTTCTGTTAAAGCAGCATGCCCAACAGAAAAGCCAGCATCGTCACCAACTTTAGCTAGGGCTAAATGCGACGGTTTGTGCTGGCTCAGCTCTGGTCAGGAGGTGTCAGTCGCTCGTCTCTCCTCCCCTTTCAAATAAAACCGCGCAGCATTCAAAGCGCAGAACTCTGCCTGTCCAGAAACCGGCTCTCCGGCGGGCCGGCCGGCCTCCACCTACCGGTAGAAGGGCTTTCCAGAGAGAGAGAGAGAGAGAGAGAACTAAAGCGGGAGGGACTGAGACCTGCCATGCCCCCTGGCTAAACGCAGGGGTGAGTTCCCCTCTTGCAAGGTTTCCCACCTCCTCCTGCCCCTCTTCGAAGAGGATTGCAATGTTTCCTCTCTCCTCCTCCCCTTTCTACCTTTTGATCATCAGAAAGGGGGAACTGAAGGGTTTATCTGAGGAAGGGAGAGCGGGATTATAAATCCCCTCCGACCCGTTAAAGGAGACAGCCGAGGGAGGGGAGGCAGCGCGCGCCCCAAACTGCCCCAAGACCCAAAGGGAGGGTGCAAATGGGCCGAGAAGAAAGAGGCAGCTCGGGAAAACCTGAAGGAGAAGAGACAGCCGCCGCCTGGAAGACTGGTTGGGGGAGGTGGAAGACGCGTATCCGGAACCAGTCACCCCGACCTCGCAGACACCAAGTACTCGGCGAGAGGTGGCGGGTGACCGCTGCTCTGACACCAGCGTTTTCCCCTTCTCAGCTCGCGTTTTAGAACGCGGGACCCGGGAGATCCCACAGTGGAGAAGAGGAGAAAGCGGCGGCCAAGGGGGGAGGCGGCTCCAGCCCTCCTGCTTTTCCCCCCTGGAAGGCAAAAACGCTCGGAACTCCGGAACCGGAGGCACTCACCGAACGAGCCCCGGTCTCGTAGCAAGCCGGGGGCTCGGCTCGCCCTTCTGTCAGCTGCGCGGTGCCGCTGCCGTCGCCACAAGATTCACGCCGCCGCCGCCGCCGCTGCTGATGCCGCCTCCTCCGCCATGTTCCTGGGGCGTCGCGCATGCCCGGCAGCGGCCCTGGGGGCTTCCTCCGCCTTCGTGTCTTGTCTTCGCGGCCCCCTGACGAGGGGGCGGGGGGGACTGGGGACAATTCAGCCGCTGCTCCCACAGTTGCCGCTATGTTCAGTGGCTCGCGAGAGCGAGTTGGGGGCTGTCCTCGCGCACGCCACACCGCGCTCGTCGTGCACTTGCTGTTTGTACCGCTGCAGCGTGTTTCAAGTGGCAGCCGCCGATACCCCACTGTAGTTGTCCCGAAACGATATGAATATAGGCTTTCTTTGAGTAGAATTGACCTTGAATTAATAGATAATATTGGGTACTATTGTGTTTTGTAAGGTAGCAAAACGAACGGTTCAAAAATGAAACAATGTGCGAATTGCATTTCTAACCTGTCTGCAATAGATAAGCTGTTAAGCATGTGAAAAGAGAGATTGTCAAAGATCCAGAAACAGGAGAAAGCAAACTTGGTGTCAGAATAAAATGGAAATTGCCAGGAAGAGAAACCAAAGCCAAGAAAGACAAAGCTCTCAGGAAGAGGTTCAACAAAGAATATCACAGAACGTTTAGAACAGACATCTGCAATGAGATAAAAAATAAAGATACAGAAAAGTAAGAAATTTTCTTACTTTCTTACAGTGGTCTCCAACCGGTGGGCTGCAAGAAAATTCTGGTGGGCCGCAGAGAAATCTCACTCCCAGAGCACCATCCCAAAGCAATTAATCCAGGCTATGCAGAAACACAAGGCTGCGCAGCCCACATGGCCCATGGGACCCCTCCCTGCCCACTCACTCCTCACCTGGCAAACTTGCCTGCTAAATTGCTATTTTTCCTTTTTCCAACCATCATCTATTCTTCTGTGCCTAGAGATTTAAATTAGCTAGGAAGCAGGAAATGGTTGGATTTCTTGATTTCTGGCTAGTCTTTAGATCTTCGGCACTGCTTTTAAGCACCGCCGAACCTCCCTTAGGACCAAAGGTTCTGTTATTCAGAGCAGACTCATGGCAAGCAAATTTGAGACTGAGATAGCCAATGGCAGATAGATAGATCACTGAATGATTCTGTGAGCAACTCAATCTGCCTGCCTGCTTTGCCTGATTTTGGGTAAAAGTTGCTCTTTTTTTTATAAAAAAAATCTATATTTACATACATGGTGTGCTGTGAGTTAATTTTGTGAGTTTGCTTGCAAGCAAATTTTATATGACAGACTGAGCTAGCCAATGGCAGATAGATAGATCTCTGAATGAATCTGTGATTCTGTGAGCAACTCAATTCTGCCTGCCTGCTTTGCCTGATTTTGGGTAAAAGTTGCTATTTTTTTATAAAAAATTCAATATTTATATAAATATTTATAATATTTACATATAAGCCATGTCCAGCCAGTCACATGACCACCAAGCCACACTCACAAGTTAACCATGCCCACAGAACCAGTTAATGGTCCCTGGGATTTAAAATTATGAGTTTGGTGGTCCCTGAGGTCCACAAGGTTGGCGACCCCTGTTTTAAACAATGTCAAAAGGATATTTCTAACTTTGTGTAGCAAACAAAAAAAACAAGTTGATTTAGGATACTAGAGAGAGGAGAGTTAGCTTTACCTGAGCTGAAATTATATTTTGAGGCATATTTTTGTTTTGGATAAAAGATTGGATAACTCTAAAAAATAAAAGCCTACTGGAGCTGGAAGGTCTTGAGTTCACATTTGGGTGGGTTGCTTATGGCTTGAGAAATTAAAAGTAAATGTAGCATTTAAGAATCTTTCATAAGATATCCTATATTGAGATTGGAACAGACATCAAATAAGGTTATTTTATACATTGCCTTTATAGGGTGAGTAAAAATCAAAGAATTCCAATCAAATTTTATTTTTTGCTTGCCTATCTTCCTCATAGAGGGAATTATTAATCTGTGGGATTCACAATCCTGAGAAACATTTTATACATTTTCAAATGTATAACGTAATCCATGACCTGTAGGCTCATCATTTCAGCGAGATTTCCTTACCTAAAAAGAAAAATACGTGTTCACAATCATTGGGAGTGGGAGCGACTTTGAACTTCCTGTTGACTTTTACATTAAGTTTCCTTGTGGGAATCTGGCAACAAGCATTAGAACCTTCCTTCCCACTTCCTCTCTCCCTTTTTTCTTCCCTCTTTCCCTCCCTTTCTCTTCCCTTCTCCTGTACCTTCTTTCTTCTTTCCTGCCTTCCCTCTTTCTCTCCCTCTTCCTTTCTTCCCTCCCCTTTCTTCCTCCCTTCCTTCCATTCCTTCCTCCATTCCTTGCTTCCTTCTCTCCCTTCCTGCTTCCCTCCCCTCCATCTCTTCCTTCCATCCATTCATCCTTCACTTTTCCTCCCCCAATTTCTCTCCTTTACTCCCCCTTCCTTCATTCCTTTTCCGTTACTTTCGTTACTGCTTAACTTTCGTTACTGTTTAGTACAGTAATCCATACAATTAATTATCTCTAGTTAAAGTCTAACATATGTCTACTTCCCCTCTCTAATCCTCCTTTATCCATAGAATAGTGACTTTGTTTGCCTGAGTTGTATTTGCTTGGAAACATTCTTTATCTGAGGTTTGCCATCCGAGATTGGAACATTCCTGCAATTACAACTCTACAGTAATGGATCTGGCATTCTATAAATTAGCTCATTTTGAGGTACCTTTCTTGACAAAGTTTTGCCCTATGATGCAATGTTTCATCCAAGTGAATTTTAGTAGTATATAGATACTATATTAAAAGAATTAATATGGAATTAATTAAGGAAGTTCGGGGAATATACAAAATGTTAAATGTAGTTGTTGTAATGATATAAAAATTATGACTTGTTGTCAAGTGCCTTGCAATCATGTGATCTCCATTTTCAATCTTCTCTGCCAGTTTTCCCCGAATGTCACTGAGGAAACTGGCAGGTAAGGTTGCAAGCAGAGGACACATTGGGTTTGAGGTGTTTCCCCAGCACAACAAGGGAATTTCCCCTCCCCTCTGTGCATAAGGGGGAATCCTCCTGCAACCTGGAGGAACAGACCTCAAATCTGGTGAAAACTCTAGCTAATTCTGAGTCTTTCAGAACAAAGCCTTTAGTGAACACCATCGTTTTCATCCCTCCAGAGGGAAAAATGCTAGTGAATATCACAGTTCTGAGCCTTCCAGAACAATGGCATTCACTAGCATTTTCACCAGATTTGAGGTCTACTATACCAAAGGGTTTCCCTTCTATGTTGTCAGCTAAAATTTATTTTAACTGACATTTTTTCAATGATTTCTTTTGTACGTAGCCTGTCCCAGGAAGCAGAAATCACTGGAGATTTTAAAGAAGAGATTGGACAACCACTTGTCTGGAATGGTATAGGGAGGTCGGACTAGAAGGCTTCCAAGTCCTTTCCAGCTCTATTCTAGTCAAACGTCATTATTGACATTTTTTATATTGTGGCTACAATTTTCTGATTTGATTCTTCAAAAATCTCAATATTTTCTGTTAGAACAATTTGAAACATTTAGCAAGACTGTAAATCTTTCCTCTACTATCATCCCAGTGCCAAAGAAGCCCTCCATCAAGGAACTGAATGACTACAGACCAGTTGCTCTAACATCTGTCATTATGAAAACCTTTGAAAGGCTAGTGCTGTCCCACCTGAAAACCATCACGGATCCCCTGTTAGACCCCATGCAGTTTGCATACCAAGCAAATCTATTGACAGATGATAGATTAATATGTTAATATTGCTCTGCACTACATCCTACAACACCTTGAATCTCCAAATACCTACGCAAGGGTTCTCTTTGTAGACTTCAGTTCAGCATTCAATACCATCATTCCAGACATTCTTCTAACTAAACTAAACCAACTAGCGGTACCTGAACACACTTGTAAGTGGATCATAAGCTTCTTAACAGACAGGAAGCAGCAGGTGAAGCTAGGCAGAATCACATCTGATACCTGCACAATTAGTACAGGGGCCCCCAAGGCTGTGTGTTATCTCCACTTCTCCCTATATACCAATGACTGCATTTCAAACAATCTACTGTTAAAATACTGAAGTTTGCAGATGATACCACAGTGATTGGTCTCATTCAAGACAACGACAAATCTGCATACAAATGGGAGGTTGTACAACTTGCCTTGTGGTGTAACCAGAACAATCTGGAACTGAACATGCTCAAAACCAAAGAAATGGTGGTAGATTTAAAGAGAAACCCTCCCATACTACCACCTCTTACAATACTAGACAGCACAGTATCAACAGTAGAGACCTTCAGATTTCTAGGTTTTATCATATCACAAGACCTAAAATGGACACCTGACATCAAAAACGTAATCAAAAAAGCACAACAAAGAATGTTCTTTCTGTGCCAACTCAGAAAACTCAAACTGCCCAAGGAGCTGCTGATACAGTTTCACAGAGGAATTATTGAGTCTGTCACCTGCACCTCTATAACTATCTGGTTTGGTTCTGCAACCCAACAAGACAGACACAGACTCCAGAGAGTAATTAGGACTGCAGAAAAACAGTTACTACCAACCTGTCTTCAGTTGAGGACCTGTATACTGCACGAGTCAAAAAGAGGGCTGTGAAAATATTTACAGACCCCTCACATCCTGGACATAAACTGTTTCAACTCCTTCCCTCAAAACAATGCTATAGAGCACTGCACACTAGAACAACTAGACACAAGGACAGTTTTTTTCCCAAACGCCACCACTCTGCTAAACAAATAATTTCTTCAACACTGTCCAACTATTTATAAAGTCTGCACTACTATTACTATAATCTTCTCATTACTCCTTATAACCCATCGCCTCCCACTTGTGACTGTATGACTGTAACTTTGTTGCTTGTATCCTTACAATTTATATTGATTGTTTCCTAGTATGATTTGATTGCTTATTGTACCCTATGACTAAGTGCTGTACCTTATGATTCTTGACTATTGACGAATGTATCTTTTCTTTTATGTACACTGAGAGCATTTGCATCAAGACAAATTCCTTGTACGT